AAGTAGCCAATTGTGAGCATTCTCATGTACCATTTTATAGTTTTTCAATAAAACTTTGGTTGAAATCTCTTTATGCTTCATGTGTATTGAAGACATGCGCCTAATATAGTACATGTATTTTTTATTTATACTTCATACCTCCAATACCTTCGGCACACGGGAGTTCTTTCTTTTTGATTTCCACATGTGAACAAGGATTTTTGCTATGCACAAATACAATCTGGATATTAACTCTGGATGCCTCCCAGCATTATAACATACAAGACCCATATGGTTGAACCCTTGGACTCTTCATGTACATTTAAACTCAAACCAAGATTTTATTTCAACATGAAATAGTTTCAGTTTCAAAGAGAAACATTTATTCTTAAAGTATAGTGTTAAATTTATACCCAAGTTCACATAAAATACAGACCAAGTATGTTTCAGAAGAAACGTAACAAAAAATTCACAATGAAAAAAAAATTTAGTGTTGGTTTGTTGAATAGTGTTCTTTATTGTTATTGTTTCAAATTTACTGGTGTGAAACCGTTAATATCTAATTTTATTAACTCAATCATCTTGGTCACTGTCTTCATCATCTGTGGTGTAATCCACTTCATCGCTGTCGTCTTTATTATCATCATCATCTGATATATCCCATTGTGGATGGCTGTCTTCTATCGCCCTCGCTTCATGCACTTCCAGCTGAAAGAAAAACAAATTGTTGAATTTAAACCTTTGAGCACCAAAGTAAACTTTTGTAACCATTCACAAAATAGACCTATATACCATATGTGCATATTAGTTAGGTAATTTGCATATCATTAACCCTTTGAGCACCAAAGTCAACTTTTGTCACCATTCACAAAATAGTTCTATACACTGTATGTGCATATCATGAACCAGTCATCTTTTGTCACCATTCACAATTTAGTTCTATATACCTCTGTACATATTAATTAGGTAATTTGCATATTATTAACCATTTGAGAACCAAAGTTAACTTTTGTCACCATTTACAAATAGTTTTATATACTGTATGTGCATACTAA